TACTACTACTACTACTACTACTACTACTACTACTACTACTACTACTATTTAGCGCGCTCTCAACGTAGACACGACATACAGTACATGGCATACACTTGGCAGCAGCACTTAGCGCGAGCATACGGCGGACATACGGCGAATGTTTATGGCCAGCACCTTTTGTATAGATTTTGGATGAATCACTGCTGCTGCTACTGCTGCTGCTGGTGCTGCTGCCAGCACAAAAACGAACCATCAAGATGACACCAAAAAATCCTTGTGCAGCTCGCCGCACCCAAAAAATCGTCGAAAGGGCAGCTGGCATCGTCGCAAAAAACAAAAAACGTGGTGATTTCTGGAAGGTCGTTACTGCTTGAAACAGCCCATGTTCTAAAAAATAAAGTCAACTTGCCTACCATAGGGGTAGACAAACATCCACATGAGTGGGGCCACGGCGGACCGGGAGCATACACCACAGCCTCTATAAGAGCCACGGAGGATGATTTGTATATAGGAGCTGAGTAATGTGCGTTGAGCTGAGTTGGGTTGAGTTGTGTAAGTGAGTGATTGAGGAGAAGGACGGACGGAAGGAGGGAAGGAAGGAAGAAGGGAAGGAGCCGGGATGCCGCAGGAAAAACACAAAACCACACAAAGATGTGGGGAAAGCCATGTGGTGCTCTGATCCTTTTGGAAAGCCCGTCCTGAGTTCAGCAGGCCAAAACACTCCAACTACTGCATATGAGCACTCCTGGAAAGCCAAAAAGACAAAAAACACACACAAAAAACGTGCGGTCCAGCTGGGAGTGTTCCGCTACAATGGTTCTAACGTTTGGACCAAAGACTCGCTTGTTTTCCAAATATCTTGAAGACATCAAGATACTTACGCCCGCAAGAAGGTCATGGAACTTCCACTTTCTCGCTTGAACTCCGGTGGAAAGTGTGACACCAGTTACACCAGTCCTTCGGCCACGAGTCAGGAGTCAGGAGTCATCCTGAAACCCACTGATTTGGGCGTTTCTTTGGTCTTTGACCCAGAAGTCTTGTGGAGACGAAGCAACAAAATGGCCCGACAAGCTCGGGAGGTGAAAGGAGGTAAGATCTTCGAAGAGTTGAAGATGACAATTCTAACAGCATCCCGTTTAGTCATCCCATCCCACCCACCCATCCATCCATCCATCCCACCCGTTTAGTCCTCACTTTTAGACTTTTTAGACTATTTTAATCCGGTTAGTCATTTTACGGTCCTCCTTATCCATGTCCACAAACAATGCGTGGTCTCGCACAGCGCAGCACTTCCCCGAAAGGTATCCCAGTGGTCTTGTGATGTTTTGCAATGAGGGGTCCATGAAACATGTCATATCAGGAGTTATGTTCCTTAGTCACTAGCAGCTTACGTCACGGAGAGCGAGAAAGTCAAAACAACAAGGTTATCATTTCATAGAGGAAATTGAGATATCCATCCATTTCCACCATGTGTCTGTCACCACGCCGCTAACCCAGCCCAGCGGCTTCAACGCGGCCGCCTTCGCCTCGACAGCAATAGTGCGTTCCCTGGTCCTTTCGTCACTAGCAACAAAAACCTATATACTTTGATGGACTAACTACTTGCAAAGCATGACGATGAATCATTACAAATATACTAGTTATTACTAGTTTGTTCATATAGATATATACCCAAAGCCCATTTCTTGGTTGACCAAAGAACACATGAAACCATCACATACCATCACCGAGCACACAAACGGGTTCGGCGCGGTTGAGTGGCTCCACGCGATAGGTGCTATTGGTTGCTGTAGATTAAAAACAAAAAAAACTATAGAATCATTACACAAGGCAACTTGGGAGGGTAGATCAGATATATATATATATATTGATCTATATCTTTATACATCAGAGATAAATTAATCATCCCACTGATGACCTCCAGAACAAAGATTGAGCAAGCGCCATCGCATTCCTCTCACACGCCTGCTGACTCAGGAGCTTCTCCGGGCAAAAGCCGTCCTGGTCTGGTCGTCCAGGTCAAGTCGCTACGGCGGTCCGCCCGTGGATTGTTTTGCATTGCCCGTGGTGTCTCCAAAATGATTACTTGGATGGTCTGGGATGGACAGTGAGAATAAACCCACAATTGCTTTAAATTGCTTTGATCATTTTCCGAGGACCAACGCAGTGGTTTTGGGGTCCATGATCATCTGCAGGGGACGTATCAATGGGAGTTACTCAGTTCTTACTTGATGGGGTCAACCTTGAATAGTGGGGGCAACTGCATTGAATCAAAGAGTGTTTCACAGTCCAGTCAAGGTCTTCAGGTCACACCATCACTCACAGGTTGACTCGTGCACGCAGACTCGAAGCTGATCTGCGGCTCCAAATGTACAGCCTACTGTACAGTTGACAAAAGAACGTCGAACGCCCGGGGCCGTGTATCGTTCTGAGTCTGAGACTATCCCTAGATGTCCGTTGAGCGTTCCATCTAACGAGCAAAGACCTTCTCGGTGGGTTCGCATCAACGATCACCAATGATGACGACTTGAAAAAACAAACTGGTCCAGGGAAATGTTGCCCAGAGCTTGAAAACTGTTGCATGGCCCGTGATCATATAGGTCTTGGCTCAGAATGAGCTGCCCCCATCGTAACCCAAAGCAGGGAACACTAATAAAAAACAGGTTTTGCATCTGCCATTGCATGGCGCCCATGTCCATTTCCAATTCACCCTAAACACTGGTTGAACTAACTGACCATATCTTAATTTGTTTAGATGAACAAACTTCTTCACTTGTCAAGAACCCGAGTATCTTAGGTCTCAGGTGTCTAAGCAGTTAAACTTAATGGATACTGATATAATCCCCCTGAACAACCCCAAGTCGACCCAGATCTGGGCGCCCCCGACAAACTGAGCACTTGCCGCGGCAGAGTGATGCGGGTCATACCGGCTGGGCTGGGCACCATGCCCCGCCGGCATCTGGAGAAGATGGAGTTTCGTCTGGACGATGAACACTACGGACATCTCACATATTCAAATTTAAAGGATATGTAAAAAACAATTGATGCTTAAACAAATAAACAACTGTTCCACTGCGTATTATATATAAAAGTCTTGTTTTGAGGGTCGATTTTGTTTTGTTTTTGTGTCGTTGTTTGTCCGTGTTTGTCTGTTTGTCCCTCCACCAGCGGTCTGAAAACTGATATCAACGTATCGACGCGTCGACGCGGAGCGGTCTGCGGTCTGACTGAGTTGGACACAGTCTTGTACTTGGGATCGACTAAATCCTCAGCAGGCTTGTGGCTGTCAAATGGATATATATACACAAAAGCTTAATAAGGGGCCACTTCATAAATAGAACAAATACTCTGATATCGCTGTTATCTGTCTACTTCACATTGTTTCCCCCTTGCAACAAACCTCATATAGATATATACATATATAGATCATGAACTTGTCCAAGTGGAATACGTTCCCCACAGTTGCCAGAATTTGCTCGTTGTGTTCGCATAGGAAGACACGAGATCTTTTGGGAATCGATGAGAATCGACTGTCCA